GGGAGGGGGGTGCCGGGGGGCTCCCGGCTGAGGCGGCGGATGGTTGATGGAATAAATCCGAGTGTGTTAAATCCACTCTGTGCTGGTGTTCAGGGAGTCGCCCCTGGGGCAGGGGCAGCGAGGGTCGGGGCCACGGAGGTCTGGCACGAAGGGAGCGGTGCTGGCGCTGGGATTGAGGTGCAGCTCAGCCCTGCGAGCAGCCGTCGGCCGCCGCTGACGGACTATTATGGGATTATGATCAAGTCTGAGGCTGGTTGTCTGTTCCGTTCTGCACGGGTGATGGCAGCACCAGGTTGTGAATCCCAGACCCCTCTCGCGCTTGGCTGAGCTGCTGCTGGTGCTTTTTGGTGAAATGCTGCAGCGTTCTCAGTGCGAAAAGGAAGTTTTTGGGGTTTTTTTTTCAGTTCGTTTGTGGTTTGGTTTTTGTTGTTTTTTTTTTTAATGGTGAAATGGTGCTGGTGGTGCCGGGGTGCGGGGTTCGGTGGCTGTGTCGTGAGAAGGTGACATGGTGGCTCCTGTCCTGCTGCAGGGACAGAGCGAGGGCAGGAGCTGCGGGAACTCGCCCCGGGGGTATTTTTCTGGTGCGTTGGGGAGGGGGCAGTTGGGGGGGGGATTGGCCACACGAAGCCCCTGGGAGCCACGGCCCAGGGTGGGACGGGGGGAAGGTTGTTGCGTGACACATTTTGGGCTAAGAAAGGGGTAAAGCAGGGCCTTGGGGCAGTGGAATTGGTGGCGTCTCGTTCCCTCCCAGCCTGCATCGAGTCAGTAATTAATTATTTACCTCATTTGCAAATTGGTGAGACCAGAGGGAGTGGGGGGGTGTCTGTCCCCACTCACCAGCAGCAGCCAGATGGCACCCAAGCATCAGGCAGCGGCAGCTCAGCAGCTGCAGTCAGGCACCACGTTCACCCTGTTGTGTATTTTAGGGTTATTCTGTTTTGGTTTTTTTTTTTTTTTTTTAATTTGTTGTCCTTGTTGCTGTGGTACCCAGCCCCTGGCAGGAGCGTGGCCTGTGTTTAAGGTTCACCCCAGCCAGCAGCGCCCCAGCTCCGCACCATCTCTCTCCGTCTCACACCTGGAGCTTTGCTTTTGTCTGGGGCAAGGAGGGGGAAAAAAGGAATCTGAGTTAGACTTGAATTTTTTAATTTTTTAATTTTAACTGTGACCCTGACACCCTCGGATAGATTTGTTTGGTCTGTACCGAGGTGTTGCCTCCACAAGGTCTGATGAGGTGTTACCCTGCTAAGCTGGGCCTTCTCCCTCCTGGGAACAGGAACAATTTAACCAGGGGGGGGGAAATGTCTTCCTGGTCCCAGTGAGGGTGTTTTTGTGACACCCCCCGCAGCTGAGACCCAGGGTCAGCACCTCAGTGTTTTAAGGGCTTAGAGTAGGATTTAACTAAAGCAAGCAGGAACTGTCTTTCAGCTCTAAAATGGGCAGGATTAAGCAAACCTTTAGGTTAAGTGTTAGGTTTTGGTCCCTGTGCTGTGGCAGACTGAGCTCATTTAACTCCTGCCCTGGTTCTCCTACATGAGGGAGGGCAACTGTCCACCCTCACCCCAGGGGGAAGGAAGTGGGTGACAGCCCCAGGAGCTTGTGCTGAGCTCAGACCCAAGCTGGGGCTAAGACCAGGCCTAAAGCAGCATTTCAGGGGCAGCACTGCTGAGCTCCCACAGGTATAAGCCAGGTCCACAGTCACTGCAGCACAGGGGAAGCAGGCAGGAGGACCCAGCTCAACACTAGGCCCAGGTCAACTCTAGGCTCAGCCTTTGTGCCTCCTGCAGCTCCCCCCACCAGGACCAGGCCCCCTTAAGCCTGAGGGGGGAAGTGGGGGAAGAAGGGGAGGGAGGACATTTAACATTTTCACCATTCCTGTGCTTACCCATGTACGCTATGCACACACCACACTTTTGTACTAGTCTGTGTTTAAAAAAAAAAAAAGAAAAAAAAAAGAGTAATAAACTTGAAGTTTATACAATCAGACTAAGTTTTAATGAATGTTGCATGGTTTCATCATTGAAAGGTAGGGGCCACCTTGAATGCAAGAGCTGTTTATTAATATTTTATTGATGACAAACAGGTTTAAAACAAACTGAGACAAAATCAAAAAAGAGTTAACACCGTGCTAGCACTGATGTCTGGATTTATAAAACTCAGAGTAACTGCTACAAAGGAAAAAACCAGCACAAAGCAGAGGCAAGCATTCCCGTCAGTGAAATAAAGGGGGTGAGGGGAGAGGAGGGGGTTACATTACTCAATGGATTGCATTGCACAGAGGGTTACAGCTTAAACCTATCGGAAAAGTCTACGCAACTACGCAGCCTACAGAAGGAAAAAAATTAAAAAGCCCTTCGGCAATGTTAATAAATAAAACAGTCCATCTTACAAGGAAGGAAGGTGGCCTGTGTCTCCATTCTTTCACATTTTTAGAAGTCTAAACTCTGGAGGCTTTTTATGAGAAAAGAATGGTTTTCGTTTCTGGAAAAGTTTCTTTTGCAGTTCTTGAACTACGTTCGCTGCAGGACTTGAACAAAAATCTTGAACACCTGTTCCATGTTTATGTGCACACTACTCACGGTTTGTGGGTATGCTACACCAGGTCTGCACTGGGGGAGAGACACTCTTGAAAAACTACAGCAAATACAGGTTATGAAAGCGGATCAACAATCTACAGAAAGGACAGTAATGAAAGGGCTTTCCCCCCAGTTACAAAAAGTGGGTTTTACGTCATTTAAGTACATTCATATGAGAGGTATTTTGAGTTCCCCCAAAAAAAAGACTTAGAAACACTTGGAGCCCTTTGAGTATAAAGCTAACTTAATTCCAACTTTAAAAACACCTAGGTTAGTGAATCACACTCTACTGTTCTGTGCCAATTAGGAGGTAGAGGTTAGTCTAATTTAGGGATCTGATAAAAATGGGTCTCTGTAGGAATCTGAAATTCTCTGCGCTGTTTCTAAAAAGGTTTAGACAGAAATAAAATGCTCCCAGTGTTCCCATATGACTTAAGACATGGGTACAACTTAGAAATTGGATGGCTTCTCTTATGTGCTGTTTTCAGTTTTGACTTCCAGCTATTTCTCAAGCCAGCGTTGATGGCACAGCCGTGTCCACTACCTGAAAAATCAGCTCCGGGTTTGGTTTAACACCTGAATCTTTCAGCTAATCTGCGTTAATCACCGAAGAAGCCACACAAAAGCCTAACCCAGTATCTCTAATTATACCCAGCGATCAGAGGCCACCTTCCAACAACCGCCTGCTTTGTCCATTTTTCCAACCTGCTTCGGTAACGTTGTAGAGTCTGTACTTCAGAACCAATATAATCCCCAGTTTCCACTACTTCTCCCCCAGCTCCGAGGGAGCAAAGCAGGCCTGTTTTAGCATCTTTTCCTCCAGGGCCGAAGGGCACAGGAACCCATCCCCTTTCAAGCGCAAAGTTCATCTTACAGAAAGGCTTGTTTTTCACAGAGTAGAGTCCAGACAGTAGCCAATTAAAGCATACAGAAAACACTTTGAAACCCTCCTCCTGCCCGAGCGCGCAGGCTCCTTTCACTCTAACTGCTATCCAATGTAGGAAGAAGAGGCTGATTGCTGCAACTTTAAATCACACTGAAAGTTCTCAAGGTTGGTGCTCTAATTTAGTTTTGTTTTAAACTTTTTGTAAGCTTCTCAGAACAAGGATCTCCCAGGTCCACCACTACAAATTCAGAGACAAACTTCTAAAAATTCAGTGCTCCTTTGAAAGAATCTCTTTAAAAACCACCTTGTCACGAAAGACCCGTTCACAATGTGGGCAACACGATGACACTAGGATTTCAGAGCCAGTGTTGGACAACAAAACCTGCATCTCAGAGTTGAGCATCAGCTGTGTTCCGCTGGATTTCTGCTTGGCTTGCTGTCACTTAGTCAGGAACTCTCTCTCTCTCTCTCAGATACTCCGCTTCTAAAATGTAAACGGTTACTGCTAAAATATAGTACCCCTTTAAAACGAGAACAACTCTGAGATGAGGGTTTTCCTCTCCCCATCTGCTCTGAAAAGTAATGCCCTGCTCGCAAAGAGAAGTATGGAATGAAGTGAAACCTGCTTAAGGCCCTTCTCTCGAGCTTGTTTGACTGGGGGAGCAGGGACTCGGCTGACCACTCATTTCAGGGTGAGTTGCCTCCCCGGTGAGGCGCCAGCCAGTCCTTCAGTGCGCTCTCTCCTCTCCGGTCAGTCTCCTTGTCTCAGTGAGCTAGCAGTGGGCTCTCTCGCGCGCGCTCCTTTCTCTCTCTCTCCTCTCCGTTGGTTGGTTTCTTTCTCCTGTTGCTCTCACACAGTGGTGCTTCAGTTTTAGCAGTGGAAAACAGGTATCCATTTTATTTTATTTTTTTTATTACCCAGAATAAAATGCTGATGAACTAAGCTCCACGCAAGCTTAGCTCTTCTTCCTCAACCTGAAAGCAAGGAGGCAAAACAACAGTTGCGTTAGGGATGTCGCTGCAGACAAACTTTCATGAACTTAAATCGGGGAGGAAGAAGCAGAGGAGTGAACCTCAGGTGTCTTACACTCTAATACTGTGACAGTCCCGTCACTCCACCATGTTGATATGCACGTTCACCCTGGTAAGTAGAGTCCTGTGACAGCGCCACGTCAATCTGAGATTTAAACTCATCACCAAGGTAACTGTCCTGAAAATAAAAGTGTGTGTTAAGCCTCTAAATCAAGCTCAAGTGCTCCCTTATATAGCAGAATACCTGGCAGCCAAGGTTAACAATAACATCTGAGGGGTTTTATTGGGGATTTTTGTTTGGTTGTGGTTTTTGTGTTTTTTTTGTTTGTTTGTTTGTTTGTTTTAAAACCCCTACTTTTTCCTGCAGAATTTCCACAACTAAAGGTTTTTGCAATAGCTGGCTGCTGAATAGGCAAGCAGTTCAAAGTTAAGGCTCGAGCTGAAGTCAACACATGCAGCATTTCAATTTTATGCATGAGGGTACTTAGCAAGTCCACCAAGTATGAAACGCTGTGGCTGAGTCACTGAGACAGTTTAGTTGCCATTTTCCTCAGTTTCCACTAGGAAACAAGGATGCTCATGCACAGAGATCACCAGCAAACCCAGGAAAGAAAGCAGACTGCATAACAAATTGGACTTACCTGTGATAATTCTGGTTGGGAGAGCCCAGGCTGACTCATCTGTGATGGCTGACTCATGGAGATATACCCCTGAGTCAGTGGACCCTGGGAGAAGGGCTGGGACACCACATCTTGGCTCGCTTGACTATTTGGGAGGTTTGACTGACTAGTTCCAGGAATCCCAAAGCGATTTTTCTGGCGCCCACCACGACCAGTCTTTCCTTTTGGCGCCCCACGTCCTGCAAAAGCATTTATCCCAACCAACAGTGAGAAGTCTTACAC